GTGAGGTTCAGCACACCCAGCAGGGTGCGGGACCGCCGCGCGCGACAGGGTGCGCCGTTGGCGGGGATCTCGCTTCCTAACCGAGGTCCTTAGTGAATGAGCTCGGGTAAGGCAAGATTCTGGCAAAACGATAATTATCGAAGTCAAAATTGACTAAGAAGCTAAGCGGAATAAGATAACTTGAGTTGTTAATAACTAGTAGTCATCAAATCAGTGCGTAGGGTATAGGTCAATTGATACCTAGGTACACTTATCCCGCTTATAGTAAAAGTTAAAGAGTTTGGCACATAAAGGCCGTGGGACCAGTACTGGTAGAGGAAGAGGCGGCAGACAAGGGAAGGCACCTGAAAGGCCTATAGATTTGACTAAGAAATGGGAAGACTGGGGAGAAGATGATGAAGGGTTAGAAGAGAAAGATGAAGGATTGAGGGCAAAAAGGTATCGGGAGGAAAGGCGCATGCATACCCCGAACCCTGAGGAAATGACTTACTATTCGTATAGGTACGCAAGGCGTTACGGAGAGTCTCCGCCACGCTTCGAGCCGTCTAGCCGCTCGCATCATAGCCCTTACCAGCTGTCTCAAGAGGGGCAGTTGACTGTCCTCCCCCAACCTCACCAACAAGGACCCCAAGCAACGCCACGCGTGCCCGACCCTCCTGTAGTCGTGCAGTCTGCGTCTCCTGATAGGAGGATGTGCATATCACTCTTGATGTTTATATTATGTCAAATAAAGATTTGCGGGTTGGTATTCTACTTATTGTATAAAAAGATTACATAAGGATCTAAAAGGCTGGATAAGGTGGCGAAATAAGATAAGGGGGGAAGCTAGTTAAGTCATAAGCTAAATGAAAGAAGCATGGGCTGGATTGTGTTGAGTAATAGGTAGAGTGTGTCGACAAGATGAGCATGGCGTCTGCCCGATATCAAAACGCGATCAGAGAGCCCGCACTAATGAGGCAAGACCTAATGATGAATCTACCAACTCGTCATAAGGAAAAATAAGGAGACAGGGTATTGTTGGGGAGTGTCTATGAGGGAGCGAGCCTTCATCAGGATTGAGTTTGGATGGGTTAGGGGCGAGAACTGTGCGGTAGAGAAGGTTACTCTGTATATCGCATCAGAGAACTTGCGGACCAATCTCGTACTTGATATATAAAAGGATCGTCTAAAGAAGGGGAGTAAGATAGGGTGAAGACGGGAGTTTCTCTCATCACTAACTAAATGAGAGGCGTGAGGAGAACCCATCTAAGTTGAATTGAGGAAAGGTAATTTGGGCTCTTATGAGAGATCAGACCAAGGGAAGTTAAAGAATAAAGGAGGTTTGTCAGGAAAACTGCGAGAAAAGGGTACCTATCTTTAAGTCAGGCTATTCCATAGTAAGGGCACCCAAAAATTAGTGGTTGAAGAAGTACATTAAATAAGTTGTCCTTTGACTTACCCTTGTGACAGATCTTCGAGATTTGATCAAGACGCCCTTTACAAAGCAAGTGTCCAAGGTCAAGGCGCCAATTAGGAATGATGATGGGCTAGAATGACGCTGTCAAAAGGAAGAAGTCGAGCAGAACTTAGTGAATCATGGTGGGGTTACCCGTTATTGGGCGAGACATTTTTATGGGTAGAAATGAGTTGGAATACGAGGGAAAAATGGCGTAGTGTGAGAGTCACCATTTACCTGGCTGCGAGTCTCTGGCATGATTATGAATCAAATTTCGATCAATGGGTGGAAGACTATCTGCTATTACTCACTGGGATGGCAGAAGTGAAACTCAGAATTTGGGAGAGGGAAGGTCCATGGATAGACACAAGAGAAGTTTTAAAGGAAATCAAAATGCTTCCGGCCAAAGACTTTACTCTTCCGGTCCGTTACGTTAGAACCACGCTCCTGGATTTTATGGTCCAAGAGTTGTTTTTTGGTCAAGAAAGGGTAGAGATGGTCGCTGAAGCCGCACTTAGAGTACCTAATAGGGGGTATGATTTTTCCACCCCTCACATGATTTACTGCCTATACCTAGAAATGGGCTTCGAACTCGCCGAGAGTGGTTTTAGCAACGTGTTGTCCATCGTAAACGCGTACGCTAGAGATTATTTAATGGAGGAGCGATTTGGGTACTGGGAGAAATTGAAGGAGGAAGTGCGGTCCGGAATCTGCGTAGATGGCATTCCCATCATGTTTGGGTTAGTTTATAACTTATGGTCTGGGGACTGGGTGACGGTAGAAGAAATGGAAGAGGAAGAGAGGGGGTTTATATTATAAAACGATTATGGGGTAAGATGCTAAGGCATAAGTTGTAAGGAAGGGAAGGAGGTGAAGGAGGACATTACTTATGTGAATTATAAAGCGATAAAGAAGTGAGATGAAGAAGGGAAAAAGACGAGGGAAGAAGACAAAGGAGGTGACTCGAACAGGATTAAGAAAAATGAGAGAAATTTTAATTATGATATAAGGAGGAATGACACAACGAGGTAAGACTTATGAGTGAGTATTGTGTGTTTTTTGTTTTTCTTTTGCACTTCACAGGCCGCCAGGAAATCACTCAAGATGCCGTACGCTACTCGGGGAATTGGGATTGAGCTGCCCATCCGAACCAGGTTGGGATTAAGGATGTTGTTGCCCCAGGGGCTAAGCGTGAAGGAAGAAGAAATCACCTCATGGTGGGGGGCCCCGATTGGGCCAGAAGCATTTGTATGGGTAGAATTTTGGCATACCTCGGACCGAGAAAGTATAATAGTTCGAGTAACCCTTTGCCTCTCGTCGCACTTGTGGAGAATGCACGGCATCGACTTGGCAGTGGGACATAATCAACCATTATCCAGGTATCTCCTGATTACAAGAGCAATCCTAGAGGACAAGATCAGAGAGGAAAGGTGGGGGGAATTTCGATCGATTATACCCATGATAGAAGCAAGGTGGGCGTCGGACTTCGTCTACCCTACCGACTACGTAAAATCTACCCTGCCAGACTTCATCATCATTGATGAAGTTTTTCACAGCCCTACTAATGTAGAACAAGCAGTTCGGGCCGCCATAGTCGTGCCTCTGGGAGGTGCGATTTTTTTACGCCGCAAGTTCTTTATTGTTTGTACTTGGAGATGGAGCCAGATTTGGCTGATAAAGACTTTGAGGACGTCCTGTCCACGGTAGATACGTTTATTCGTGTCCACCATATGGAGCCAAGACAAACTTATTGGAGGAAGCTTAAAGCCGAAATGAAGATCAGGGCATGCATCTTTGGTATCCCGATAATGTTCGGTATGGGGTATGATTTCTGGACGGGGGATTGGTTGTCTGCAGAAGAGATTGGAAGGGTAGACTGGTAGGCGATTTAGAAGCAGAAAAGATAAAACCAAGACGGTTTTCGACATGTCAATCGTCTCATTAGAATGTAGGAGGTAGTAACTGGGGCTCACAGAATTAAGAAAAATTAGTGTATACTAGTTAATGTCAAAGGGAAGAGATGAGAATAAAAAATGAGGAATGTAATATAGTTAGAACCATAGGCCGGACAGGGCTTAGAAAGCACCTTGGGAAGGGTAAGATACCCAATGCAAAAATCTAAAAAGATAAGTAAGAAAAACTAAGAAATAATCTGAAAACTCGTCGTCTCTGTATGTGTATGACAGATTGACTAAGGACTGTGGAGATGAGAGATGCCAATGGAGGGCAGGGGTCCATCACGGCCGCGGAGATCGTACGGCTACTGGAAAGTAGGTCGATCAAAAGGTTGTATTTGCCAAAGATAGAAATATTCCCTTTTCAAGGAGAACGGGTTTCTCACTGGTTACAACTTCTGGAACAGGTTTTCAATCGGTTAACACCGGTTGAGAAATTTGCTCTGCTATATGAATCCGTATGGTGGGAATATCGCTCAGAGGTCGAAAATATCGTCACGGAAGCCCAGGGAGATTGGATCGAATTCAAGAAGGGGATGCAGCGAAAGTACAAGTTGGGTGATGGGTTGTTAACAATCGACCATATGCACAACTTGAATAGGAATGATTTCACAACGATTGGAGCGTTCGCCACAACCTCTGAAAAGATGGCAGAGAGAGTCCCGGGGCTTACCGAGGAGATGCTATGTGTCATTTTTTTTGGGAAATTCTCAGGATATGAGGCGATGGAGTTGACGTGGGGAGGCGCGCCGGGTAAAAAGACCTCGTGGAGGACGATAAAAAAGAATTTAGCATCAGGAGATTTTGACCAGGTGTTTCATCACCAAGTGAAGATGGAGAGAAAGAAAAGAAAGGAGGTGAGCGCGATTCAGGGGGCGGATTTAACCTTAGGAGGGGACTTGAGTAATATGGCGGCTTAGCTCAAGGAGATGAAGGAGCAAATGGCGTTAGGGAAGGTAATGGCAGTCGGTCAAGCAACGAACAAAAAGAGATATGAGGAAAATGATGAAGGGGATAAGGAAGAAGAGGAAGAAGAGCCGGAATAGACCACTAAGGCTAAAGCAACCCAGAAAAAGACTAAGAATCAACCAACAGGAAAACAAGGAACTGGCAAGGTGCAGAATCCACAACAAGCTGGGACGTTTGAAGCACAGGCTCCCGCAGCCCAGCTCACACCATGGCCGGTTGTGGCTCCTATGGGTGCGTGACCCGGATTTTTTTCAGGAAATCAGTGGTCAGGGTTTGGCCAGATGAGCCTGTATCCGAATCTGCCCCAGGTATAAGGAACAGGTCAAGTGCAAGGTGGAGCGACAGGCGGAGAACAGCCTCACCAAGCGCAACAGGCACAAGGTAATCAGAACCAAAATCAGTTTCAAGGACAAGGACACGGACAAGGACAGAGTAGAGGTAGGAACGGAGGAAGAGGAAATGGTCAAAGGAGGAAGAGGGAATGTCCAACGTGGAAGAGGATTTAGAGGAAGAGGACATGGCGGACAAGGAGGAGGCTGAGGCAATCAAGGAGGCCCTCAGTCGGGAAACTATAATCAGATGAACTTTAACCAAGTCGGTCAGGGGTATAACCAAGGATATGGTCAGGGATATGGTAAAGATTATAACCAAGGCTATGACCGAGGGTTTGGTAGGAGTGACGGATAATGGAATGGTCAGGGATTCGGACGAGGTTGGGTGGATTATAGTGAATGTACTTGTACTTATTGTCAAATTAAAGGTCATACAGTAAAGAGATGCCATGTTAGAAAGATGGACAAACTGAATGAGATAATTACGTCCAGCATGGATGGGGATATGTACGATAAGTGGGGAACTCTCATTGACCCAAAGATCCTTGGAGGTACGAGGAAGGAGGCACTCAGGGTTGCAGGGCTAGGATCCAATGCCCCCGCCATGTTCCGGATATGGCAGAAAAAGGAGGATCCATTTATCAAAGTCGAAGATGTGACTGAGCTGGGGGAACAATTAAGGAAAGGACTAAAAATAGACCAGGAAGAAGAGGATGCCCCGTTGATTGAGCTTAAACCAAGAGAGGATGAAGTAGTCAGGGAGTCACCGAAAGACACCTTAGAGAGGATGGAAGACCTGATAGGTAAGATAGGAAGACTGAATACCCGAATGATGGGTATATGTGAGGAAGTCAAAATTATGGAGTTAAGAGTCCCGCACGTATTTACGATGAATCAAGGAAGTGGAGGAGAGAGACCCCGAGAACCAAATTCAATGGCACTAAGGGCTAGCTTGGTTGCAGGATCTGAAGCAGCTTACCAAGCCCTTAAAAATTTTCTGCCACATACCGCTCGCCGGGCGAAAGGAGGTAGTACAACCAAGGAGCAAGAGCAGGCTCCGCCGCCTCCTCCTGAGGAACCCTCTATCGATATAGGCAAGGGAGAGAAAAACCAGGATGAGCAGCTGAGGGAAGAAGAGGATAGGAAAGCTGAGCAGAGAGCCAAGAAGCGAAAACAGGGAGGTAAGGAAGGAAAAGAAAAGGTCGGAGAAAAATCCAAGAAAAAGTGGAAATATCAGACGTCTTTCGAAGAGGGAGTAGATCTAGAGAATTTTGTGAATAAACTTCTTGACGGACATAACGACCTGCTGAAATTGAAGGAGATTTTGGCAATAGCTCCAAAGCTCAGAGAGTTGGTCAAAGCGAAGTTGGTAAGGAAAAAAGTGGCAACGGTAAGATTGGGGGATTTGATTCCCAAAGAGGCAAATTGGACCGTCGTCGGGAGTAAAATGGATTGGAAGTCCGTAGGGACAGGTTTTATCGAAGTTAATATCAGAGGAAGAGCGTGCTCCAGAATGTTAGATACCGGAGCAGAAATGAATATTATAAACTTAGAGACGGCGGAAAGATTGAGACTAGAAGTCGATAAAAGTGACTTTGGATACCTCAATGGGGCCAGTGGGAAGTCAGGCCATACAGGTGTCACCTCAAACGTCATTGTGGAAGTTGAGAGGATTAAGGTCTGTTCCTGCTTCTACGTCATGCCGAGTCTGGATCTTCCCATATTATTGAGAAGGTCCTTCCTGTCAAGGTCAGAAGCAGTCCTCATAAATAAACATGATGGAACTATGTATGCCATATCGTGCGACCCGGTGTGTGGGAATTTCGAGGTACTCACATGTGCAAACACAGGGCCCCACTATTCAAAGAACCGTCTCAATGCAGGGTCGTATACATTTGAAGAATCTGAGGACAAGAAAAGAGAATTAGAGTGGGGATCAGGCGAGGAAGATGAGGATGAAGAAGATGAGGGACTGGTTCTGAGCTTGGCTAATACAGACCAAGCGATGTGCATGGTCTCAGCCTATGCGATGGCCGACCAAGAAGTCATCATGGCCTTGGCCGACAGACTGGGTGAGTATCCTGAAGGAGGGAGAATGAAATTGGTGTATAGGCCACCACCGAGAGATGTAAACATGCAGGGACCATATGCCCAGTCAAGCGGTCAACATTTTTTAGGGGCGGGCTCAAGCAAGGAGTCAAAATGAGGTACAAGACACTAGATAAGAAAAGTCATCCGGTCCCAGTACTAGTAACACACGAAGAGAGTGAGTATTACGAGCAAGAGAGAAAATTGATAAGGCAAATGAAAGAAAAAAGGGATGAAGAGGCATGTCTTATCAATGAGGAGACGGAAAAGGACCTGATTATCGGGGAAACTGGGTTTCTGACTGAGCAAGAAAGGACATTGGTGATATGATTAATGAAGGAAAAACATTGTGCCTATGCCTTTAATGATGATCAGAGAGGAAGGTTAGATGTGGACAAGGTAGGGATGATCAGGATCCATACGATCCCACATCAGCCTTGGAATGTTAAAGGAGCCAGGTAACAGAATCCTGATGATCAGAGAAGAGTGGTGGAGTATCTCGATGGGAAGATCGACTCACACGTGGCAGGGTTTTCTAGTGGGACGTATGCTTCACCATGGTTCTGCTTTATTAAGCCGAATGGGGTGCTCAGATGGGTGCAGGACTTGCAAAGATTGAATGTCGTGACTGTTAGGGATGCTGGAGGGCTCCCTAACGCTGATCAGCTCTCCGAAGCGTGTGCTGGAAGGTCTATTATTTCTCCTATAAACCTCTACTCTGGCTATGACCAATTCCCTGTCTACCCGGCAGATAGGTCAATAACTACAATGCATACTCTTAGGGGACTAATCCACATGAATGTAGCACCTCAGGGGTGGACGAATGTGGTAGCCATGGTTCAAAGGAGTATGGTCAGAGTTATGCAGTCGATTAGTCCCCAGATCACAGAACCCTATATCGACGATTTAGCGGTGAAGGGACCAATGATAAAAGATGAACAAGAGGTTACACCTGGCATTCGAAGATTCGTCTGGGATCATGTCAATGATCTCAGGAAGGTGCTCAATCTCCTGTAGGAGCACAACCGCACGACAAGTGGCGCTAAATCCAGACATTGCATGAGAGAGGCGACCATTCTTGGGTTTGTGTGTAATGAGCAGGGTCGTCGTCCGGATATCAAGAAAACGAACAAAATTCTTGAGTGGCCGACACCATTCAAAAATATAGGTGAGGTGAGGTATTTTCTTAGGACATGTGGGTTCTGGAGAATATTCATCAAGGGGTTTGCTGCAAAAACTGAGCACGTGAGGAAATTGGTGAGAAAGAATCAGGAATGGAAGTGGGGAGAGAAGCAGGAGCAGGTGGTAAAAGATTTGAAGAAAGAATTTGAGGAAGGAGGCCTGGTATTGGGGGTTCCGGACTACGAAGCGATCTTAGAGCGCCCCTTCATAATAGAGACTAATGCCAGACTCACTGCCTTGGGAGGAGTCTTGATACAGGCGGATCATGAGGGTAAGGAGAGACCGTTGCGCTTTGAGAGTCGAACTCTCAATTCAACTGAAAGGAATTACTCACAATTCAAGAAGGAGGCCTTGGCAGTATTACACTGCCTACGGATCTTCAGACATTATCTCTTTGGGAGAAGATTCATTCTAAGAGTAGATCCGACGACCCTCATGTATTCCCTTAGGAACTTCTCTCCAGCTGATCCTACAGTTACCAGATGGCTCACCTACATCTGGATGTTTGATTTTCAGTTAGAGCGTATTCCGGGGAACAAGAATAGAGCAGATGGATTGAGCATGATAGAATGGGAGAAACCTGGAAAAGCTAAGGAAGAGATACCGTCGGTAGACGGATTCTTGGAAGAAGATGACATGCAGCTCCACGTTAACACATGGGCTTTGAGGATCGATGATAAAGAGGTACGAGAAGGAAAACCTATGTGGTTCGCACCAGCGACCTTTGTGAGGGACGAGAAGTTGGTATTAAAACATTTTGTCGAAGAGGACCCGTGGGGAGAAAGAAATGGGGAATGAATGGCAGAATTGGCTTTAGCCGAGAGTTACAAATTGACAGAGGAGCCAGTCACGATTGAGGCAGGAATAGGGCAGGTGGATCGACATTTATTAGCAGTAGGGAGAGTGCATTACCTTGTGAACTCTCTCCTACAGGTCCGGACCGAAGAAGAAAGAGGAACGGTAAGGGCTGACGAGATAATATTAGGAGATGACTATGAGTTTGATGAGGAAATGGAGGGAGAGGAGTTTGAGCAAGGCGAAATCTCATAAGATTTCCGGGAAGAAGAGTACGATGGATTCCATTTAGAAATTAGACTTCTTCTCTCCGGCGACAAGCGAGAGAGGGAAGTTAGTGAGAAAACGCTCTGCTTGAGGAACCATTATGTGGTAAGGGGTGGTCATCTTTTCATCAGGGATAAAAGAGGACCACCTAGGAGAGTTATCTGTGGTAGGAATCGACAGAATGATATCATAGTTGCCCTCCACGACGGGCCTGTTGGAGGTCACAGGGGTTTTGCCACTACTCTAAAAAAGGTGACGGAACTCTACTTCTGGGAAGGAATGTACGGGATGGTTAGAAAGTACTGTGAGTCATGCGTGTCGTGCCAGGTCAGATCGCCAATCAGATATAAAAAAAAACCTCCACCCGAGATATATCAAGGATGTGGGGGCTGTTGTCCACTTGGATTTGTTAGCAATGTCGTTGGGACATGGTGGGTACAACTACATCTTTGATGCTAGATACAACCTCACAGGATTTGTTGATGGAAAGGCCATCCGGACCAAAACTGGGGCGGTCTTGGCTGAATGCATCAAAGAATATTACCTCCGTTATCCTTTCGTGGTGGAATTCATGATGGATAAAGGATCGGAGTTCACGTGTGGGGAGGTTAAGGAGTTATTGGATGAACTCGGAATAATCGCCAAGTACACCACTAGGGCACATCCTCAAGCTAACGCACCGGCAGAGAGAGGGCACATCACCATTACGAACTTACTGGCAAAATGGACCGGGAAAACAAAATTTGTGGCCTAAGTTCCTACGGACGGTATTCTTCGTCGAAAACATCACGGTCAGAAGAACCACGGGGTATGCTCTTGCGACCTTATGGTATGGGAGACACGCCGTCTTTCCAATAGAAAGCTTCATGAAAACCTGGTGGAGACAGTACCTTGAAAACGATCTGCCGCTTGAAGAGTTACTCGACATCCAAGCCAGACAAGTCAGTGTCACAGAAGAAAAGGTTCAGGAAGCAGTCGAGAAAGTGGCTGATAGTCGGGGAAAAGACAAAGAAAGATGGGACCGGCTTCCTCGCGTACGAACTGAGTCATTGGTAGTCGGGGACGTGGTACTGTTCTATGACTCGTCCCTAGAGAAACAATGGTCAACGAAGTTGGATAAGAGATGGTTGGGGCCGTATAAGGTTCGACGTCAAGGGAATCATGTGGCGTATGAGCTGGAGGAAATTGATGGAACGCCAAGGCGAGACAAGGTTTCTGGATCCAGGTTGAAGAAATTCAGGACAAGAGATGAGGTGAGTCAATAACCTAAAGATAAGTCAATTCAATCCTCCTTAAAAACTTTTGTGATTGCACCATTTGCGAACCTGATATTGTTACCCGACTGCTGACACCCTGTTGCACCTGCCACTTTCCTCGTCTTTTTTCTGTGTGCAGGCTTAATCTTGTAAAAGGAGCGGCAATGACACGGAAGGGAGGGGTGGCGGGGCCTTCCAGGCCAGCCTCTGGCAAGGAACGGCGACGGGGATCACGGCGGGTAACCAGGGACGCAGATGGAATGCCGATCTACAAGAAGGGGGACAATTTGAGGTTGTTCCTAAGGGAGTTCGAGGATCACGCGTTCGGGTGGGAATGGGATACCCCAACCATGTTGTCCAAAGTAAATGGTGTAGGGGAGTGTCAATTAAAGATTGAAGAAATTACCACCGACTGCCTGGGATGGATGACATTCAAGACAGAAATGTGGGTTGAGTATGGGGACCTGAGGAGAGACGGGATCAAGGATGATATAATCTTTTATGGAACAAATGTGGAGGATTTCGAGGACAGTCTGACTCTGTATGCAGAAAGGAAGGGGTGGAAGGAAGAAGAGAAGCTGGAACAAGTAATGGCAAGAGTGGACCCCATGGAATATGAGAGTATGAGGAAGATCAAAGAGGAGTCAGATACTTGGGGAGGGTTTCTTGTCAAATTCAGAAGAACCTACACTCTGGCCATACAAAGACAGAAGAAAAAACAGTTACTTCAGGAGCAGGGGTTGTGGATCGGAAGGAGAGGAGACAAGCTGGAAAAGAAAGGTTGACAAGAAATTGACGAAGATGATGTGCCCCTCAGGCAGGTGCTTGTATGGAAAAGGACAACCATTCAGAAGGGAGGTGGATCAGCAAGCAGGACCGCAGGAATGCAAGAGAAGAGAAGAGGCAAGGAGAAGAAGCAAAGCAAGGAAGAAGAAGAGGAAGAGAGGGAACAGGACATGATGAGAGAAGAAGAAGGGAAGAAGGAAGTGGAGGATTTAGCAAGAGAAAAAGATGGCACAAAAGAGAAGAAGGAGAGGAAAAAAGAAGGAGAGAAGGAATCGGATACGATGAGTGGGAAAGAATGGATGAAGGAAGTGGAGGATAGAAATGGGGAAAGAGGGCGTGAAGGAGAATGAAGAAGAGGAAGAAGAAAGGAATCAAACAGAAAAGGAGACTGGAATGGCGACCGCTGAGAATCCTCTCAGGGAACCAGGATCAAGGAGGATGACCAAGGAAGAGAGAGAAAAGAGAGAGGAAGAAAATAAGGAATGGAGGGACAAAATGGTTGCATCAATGAAGGAAGATGAGTTGYCTGCRGATGCCCYTTGGAGTGAGAAGATTKRGAGGATCTTGTTAATTGAATCMRTCAGGGGCTCTAAGCTACGGTCAGACCTGGATAAGCTGATCCGGCTGCATGAGCTGCTTCGGGATGACTGTGAGTGGCTCCTTGAAGGAGGAGTCGAGGTAGCTGAGAAATTGGAGGGAGCAGGAAGGAGTCAGAGAGGGAATGACGAGGATGGAAAGATGGAGGCTTCGATTAAAGAACTCCAAGAAATGGTAAAAGAGAAGGAGGAATTACTCAATCAGGGAGTAGCAAGTCACATCCCTGAAATCCTGAAGGAGATCCAGGGATTGAGAAAAAGGGAAGAAAGCAGGGATGCACAGGTGGAAAAGATGGAAAAAGAAGTGGAAAGCATGAGGGTTGAAATGAGCAAGGTAAGGGAAGAACAGCAAGAGCTTAAGAAGCAAGTGGAGGCGTTGAACATTGCCCTGGATAGTAAGAACAATGAAGTGGAAAAAGAGAGGGTTGAACGAGAAAAGTTGGACAAGGAAGTTGGCAAGCTGGAAGGGAAGGTCAATAAGCAGGAAAAGGAGATGGAGGCTCTCAGGAAGGTTAGTCAAGAAGGAGGAGCAGAGATGCCTACAAAAATAGTTGAATGGAACGACGAACTTGGGTTTGAGATCAGGAGTATTACAGGAACACTTCATGCACCAGAACAAGGCCAGAGGGAGTAAGCAGAGAAGTATTGGGATAAAGAGGAGAGAACGACGATCAACCTACTGTCATTCCAGCTTCTGCTAACAAGTTGGTTCAGATACTGACATCTGACATTGTTACAAAGTCTTTTAATGAAGGCGAATCAGGAGATAGTAAGAAGAGACCTTGTTCTGAGATGTTGGAAGTAGGTGGAGAGAAGGAGGCAGCGATTCCAGGTCATTCTGCCAAAAAGTCAAGAAGTGAGGGCAAAAAGTTGTGTTGGTATTGCATGAAAGGGATGCATCTGAGGGAAGAGTGTCCAGGATTTAAGTTTGATAAGGAAAATGGTTTTGTAAAGTTGGATGAGAACAAGAATCTCATTGACAGGGAAGGGAACTTTGTTGAGAAGGCTAAGGATGGATTCAGGGTTCAGTTGTATAGGCAATTGAACCTTAGCATGATAGACTAGGGGGAAAGTATGTATTTTGACCTCCTATGTTCTTTACAACCACTCAAGCTTCTTTCCTTTCTCATCGAGGCTTTGTACACTATGGGTGAGAAGTATAAAATAAATAGGGTCTTTTCTCTTGGGGCATGGTGATATACTTTAGCAACAGAAGAGAGTCAACAAGTTTTGAAACATTTTGGGATAAGCTCGACATATGTGCTTTAGTGAGTAGAGACAAAGAGACATGTGACTCGTACTTCATCCATCATTTTTCTTTTTCTCTTTTTCAGGAGGGAGACCGTTTTTTCCTTGTCTTCCTTCTCTTGAGTCATATATTATTAAATTTATTTATAGGGGTATGCCGACGAGAGACACTTTCACTTTCACAACTGAGTTGGTCCAGTGTTTGGTCTTGTTTTGATGGAATGTGTATCTTTGAAGTCTGTACAAGCTGTATTATCAAGTCCTGAACTAGGATGCTCACAAAAGCGCCTAAGTGTTCAAGAAAGTTAAAGTGAAATGTGATATGTACGGTCTGAATGTGCTTTGACATTGTTCCATGCTTTGTCTTATGTTGTTATTGTTGAGAAAAACCCTAAAAAAGGGGTGTGAGAAAGATAAAGGCCTTGATTCATTTGAGACCCTGCGAGACAGGGGAATGTATGTTATGAATGAAATGGTTGTTCTTCTCTGCCTTCTGACAAGACAAGGAGTCAAACAAATATTTTTATACTTTTTTTTATGGATTTTTGTGTTGGTTGAAGATCCCCGAGACGTGTGTCTGTCCGGCCTGTGATCGAGGTTTGGACGACCCGACCCCTGAGTGGCTCTGACGATGCCCCTCGTTCAGTGACATATGACAATCATGATATATCATTTTTTTTGTTAAAATTTTCTTTATATAATTTCAAAGAGGTTCATTCATCCAAACTGACGAGGGGATTCTTTGATCAAATTGTTATTTATTTATATGAAATGATCATCGTTCATCCACTCTAGGTGGTCAGTCTGAGGGACTTGAAATTACCAAGCCTATGGTGAAAAATTTGCATCGTTGGGACGTAAATCCCAACGTGGGCTGCTGACCAAGTATAACCAGGCAGCGGGCCTTCCGATTACGGCCTAGGACCGAAACCTGAGAGGGGGCCTCCTTAATGAGGGAATTGGTTCAGGTAGATATCGGCGGGATCAAGAGTCAGGTCTAGAATAATAGGAGAATTATACCCGATATTGTGTAACCAATACGAGAACCATTGTTAAAATAACAACGCGGTGGGCCACATTTTCGGCCTGATCAACCGGCTGTGGTGGGTTGAAGCCGAGGTCGCCGATCCTCTAGCATTAGACTTCGGGTGGGACGGTAAAATTTGACTGAGGTCAAGACCCGCGTCCAAAGAGTGGGATTCGATTTTTGATCCCAATCGCCTCGGACACCCAACAAGATCTTGACAATAAAGTCTAAAGTTGAGGGCAGGAGCTGTCATTGTTTTCCTTGGTGACCTCCGCAACTGTAGTACAGATCCAGTATGCCCACTTGGGTTTTATAGAATAATCTTTCTTGGGAATTGTCATTTTGGATGTGTGGGAGACCCAGGTTAAAATCTTGGCAGCATGCACGCACCAAGGAGGACAGTGAGGGTCTCCAAACCGCAACTTCATCCAGGGGATCGGATTTTTACTACTTGTCCCGTTAGAAGGCCTTTCTTTGCATTTAGATTCCCCAGCGACGGGGACGTCGCTTAATGGGGTCTAGGAAAACTGTCGGAGCTCATACCCTTACAAGGGTATCCGCTCATGATTTTGTAGTCGACACAGCGTCGGCGTCAACAGACAGGCTGAAGACGGCCAAAACGGAAAATGCGGCAAATCTCTCGGCCGCTATAGTCGAGAAAGTTTTGACAGCACAAGCGTCGAAACACGGCGCGCATGAACTAGAGTCAGTGGTTAAATTTTTTTCGAATGCTCGTCTGCCTTGTCGTGACGGACCCAGAAACGGTTCAATGACCCTACGCGCCGCTTTGACCTACGCAGAGACTGGAAAAGGATTAATAAATTAAATCGCCGACCACCAAGGCCGGAAGGTTAGTCTAGCAAAAAGGGAATCGCACGGGAGGCAATGACGACACACTATGTTAGTAGGTTCCTGCTAAAGCAACAAGAATGTGTTAGTTGTGAGCCTGCCTTGTGGCTAGGGCAGCCGAAAGGGGGCGTACTGCCTACCATAATAAGTAGCAAAAACCATGAAAGACCTAAACTAGCATTTGATAACAGGCTAAGGGTCTGTTACACTGACGGAACCAACATATACCTTACGTATAGAGAGGTTGCTCCTATCTTAATCAAGCTAGGAGCTAGCCCAGTAGGTATAGGTGCGGATTGATGTGCTGGGAATTTGGGGATCAAGTCTAGCTCCTTTTTTTTTAACAAGGATTTTTCATTGATTTCACCCCGCGCTCGAACAACCAAGGCTCGAACCCGCGACTTAAAAATTACAAGTATAGGGATGTTAGTTAGTTATTTAGGCCACCTGCCGCACGCGACAGGAGCCTGACCCTTGGTTTGCTCGGGAAGTTAGTAGTTAGATTCTTTATCTTTTGTTTTTCTTTTTCTTTTTCCTTTTTTTTTTCTTTTACTTTCTTTTACCGTTATTAGTTAGATTTAGTTGTGGTCGTACTCCGTTTTTTATAAAGGCTCATATGAATCTACCCCAGACAAAAGGGGCAGATTCATTACACTGCCCACGCGAGTAGARGGGTGAGATCCGTAGATTGTGCGCCTYGCCGGGGTCTCGGTTTCCCSAGGACCTCGGGYGAAAGGGAAGAACCCCACGAGATAGATGAAAGGGGCGAGTGCAYGAGGGYGAATGKGCGAGTGAGAGRAGAGCGTGGGTGGGRGAGCATGCAGGCGTGCGAGTAAGCRAACGTACGAGCATACAAGCGTGCGGAAGTCCAGTCGAGCGCTAGGGAAGAGCGGGAAGAGAGGTGTGCACGAAAGCAAACATACGAGAAGCTTGCAATAACGAACGTGCGAGAGGAAGAAACGTGCGAGTGAAAACAGGCTCGAAGGAGAAGCGTGCAAGCGTGCGAGAGTGCAAACGAGCACGAGGGAAGGAACGGAGAAGAGAGGGCGTGCGCGGAAACGTAAAGGAAGAAAGGAGAGAAAAAGGGAAAGGAGGAGAAGGAGAGTTATGAGAAGGGGGGTGATAGAGGAGGACGCTTACCAGAATCTGCGAACATACGATTGCGGAAGCAACAGTACGGACGACTACGAAGGCGATAGCGAAGAAACGAGAAAGAGAGAGAACGGGTAAACTTCCAATCCCGATACTAACCTCCCCCAACCTTTCGCTATACCAACGACACATTCACCAACTACGTGTGTACGTATGAGAGGGAGAGGGATTAGGAAAAAGAGCGGGAGAGACAATAAGTCTTCAATCTTGGCCGATGGCTAAGTCTCCCACCCGCGGCTCACCGCACGCAACTTGGTTCGATAGGACGAGCAAATCGAAAAGTGACAGTGTGTACTTCCACGTTTCAGCGGAAGATTCATTTCTTGTTCATCCTATCGATGAAATGTGTGTGTATGTGTGTGTGTGTGTGTGTGTGTGAGAAAGAGAGTGAGGAAGGCTTACAGAGATACCTCATGGTCACCTCGATCTGATGCCAGACTCTCACCCCCCCTCCCGATCACAACGCACCCTCGACTCGACTGTATCGGACCGATGAGATAGCGTGGATACACTCGTCTCTCTTTATATTAATATTAATGTTATTATTGTTATTATTATTAATTTATACGAGATTATTATTATTATTATTATTATTATTATTATTATTATTATTATTACTACTACTATTATTGCGATTGGATCTCACCTCCGATTCCAGCTAAGTACATACGAGGGAATTAGTACAAAAGGAAGACAACACACGGGCAAGATGGGAGACGGATGCGCACTAAAGAAGGCGGATGTGTGAATGAGGAGGAGGCGAGCAATGTCAGAAAGAGAAAACGTGTGTGTGTGTGTGTGTGTGTGTGTGTGTGGGAGAGAGAGAGAGAGAGACAGTTAAGTCTCCAACCCGCACCTCGTCGCGCGCTACTTGGATCGCTAGAACGGGCAAATCATAAAGTGACAGTGTATATTTCCCCGTTTCAGCAGAAGATTCATTCCGCTCTTGCTCATCCTATCGATGGAAAATGTGGGTGTGTGTGTGTGTATGAAAGAGAGAGAGAGAGAGTGAGGGAGGGCCTGGGTAAGATACGCGTCTCCGAAGAGGTAAGTCTCCAACCCCGAGGTTGGCCTCTCGATGCTTAGATCGATAGACGAGAAAAATTGAATGAATCTTCCCCCGAGACATGGGAATGAATGTACTACGTGTAAGTTTGTATATGAGTATGTGTGATCGCGGTGTGGCCGCGCGCTCTCGCCATCGATAAGGTGAGAAAAATCAGTTGAAGTCTTCTGCTACTAGGTCGAAGGATTCACTACTTCGTGTGTGTCTGTGTGTGTATGTATGAGGTATCTGTTGCTCGACGGTTACTATTGCCACTTTCGAATGGAACCCCGACTTTGAGATAACTAGTATACGTTTGTTACCCTTTTATTACAATAAAGTTATATTATTATTATTATTATTACAGATACATTGTCTTATTAGTAATTATTATTATTATTATTATTATTATTATTATTATTATTATTATCATTATTATCGTTATT